ACTTAGCAGATGACGCTGTGTCCTCCCCTTCTAGGCCCTGGAGAAAAAAAAAAGTCTGGTCTAAGAGCTGGAGATCACATCAGCTTTCTGCCATCCCAGCTGAAAATGAACCTCTTCTTGGGTCTGCCTTTCTTTTTCCCAGCCCAGCTGTAAGGAATATCAGCACTTACTGTCCCTCACTTGAGGTCACCTGGCACCTCTTCAAGGCTAAAGCACAGTCTACAGGCTGTTCCTTGGTCTGGGCAAGAGGATCCCCTTCTGTCTTTGTCCTTTGCACTGAGTATGAACCCTGGAGACAAGGAATGGTGGCCTCCCAAGTCTACATCTAACAATTTGAGGACATGTTTTATGGACCTCAACATCTCCTGCTCAAATGGCTCTGTGTCACCTTCAGCACCTCGAAGTACATTGTCCCTGTGTTCAGTGTGTCTGCCCATAGTCCTGAAGAGTAGTCCACAAGAGGCTGTTTATGGGGCTGCAGGAGAGGATGGATGGATGAGGCTTGGATATATAGGGTAGATTTCCATATGGGTACATGTTCCCTCAAGTCCCCTCATGTCCCCTCTTGATGGTCTAATGAGAAAGAGGTGAAAAGGAGGCTAAGGGAAAGAATTACTCTCATCATATTTGGTGAGAACTCCAAGGGATCTGAGCATTCTAAATTCAGCTCTGACCTGCGGAATTGGGAAAGTGTTTGCCAAAGTAGAGTGGCATGTATTTTATAGTTTATTAGCTTGATTTGTTCATTTATGGATCAAGGCAATGGTGCTTAGGCTGCCTTGAAAATGTTAGTTAGGCCCATGCCTATTTTCAACCACTCTCACCTGCTTTATTTCTATGTATCTATCAGATGAGAAATAAGCCAACAACTAAATGAATAAAGGCCCATCCCTAGCCCACACTGACTCTCTCTTTCCGGATATTAATAACTCTTTAAATAATGAGGCATTCAGTGGATTGCCACCAAGGGCCTGCAGTGCTTTGAAAACTGTAAAGAAAGTGCCCAAATGGATCTATGATCCATGGGTCTCTACCACATACACACTTGGGTCTGTGGCAGAGAAAACACAAGCTAATATGGGAAGACTCCTCAGAGACATGTTTCAAGAATGAGTGCTGCTCTCACAATCCTAAGAAGACTGTGATTAACCTCCTCCAGGAAATGCCATCAGTTTCTCACTATTGTGGGTTTGGTTTTTAGCTTCACTTCCTTAAAGCTCAGACTATGCAATGCACATCATACTGTCTTTTTCAGTGGCTTTGAATTGGTGAATTTGAGGATTTTTTTTTTTTTGTCATGGGGCTTGAACTCTGGGCCTGGGTGCTGTCCCTCAGCTCTTCAGCTCAAGGCCAGCACTCTACCACTTGAGCCACAGCACCACTTCCAGTTTTCTAGTGGTTTATTGGAGACAAGTCTCAGGGACCTTCCTGCTCGGGCTGGCTTTGAACTGTGATCCTCAGATCTCAGCCTCCTGAGTAGCTAGGATTACAGGCATGAGCCACTGGCGCCTGTGAGTAACTTGACTCTACCTTTAAGGTCTCTTTCCATCAACAAGGAATCTCATATTGAGTATAAGAGCAACTTCTATATAATGAGCTGTGGGTTGCATATTCATTACTAGGAAAAGCTGCACAGCCTTCTATCCAGCAGCAACATGATCCCAAATATCCACTATGTTTCCTGAGATTTCTGAGGAACAAACTAAGCACTCTATGTCTCAAATGATATGGGGTAGCTTAACAAGTGTGTTATCCATTCATAATTCCTAAGTCTTAACTGGGATCAAGACTCTGGGTAAGGCTGCTTAACTGGTGCACTCAGTCATACCCTCAGCATCCCAAAGGAAATATGGCATTGGTGAGAGGCACAGGAGCTGCAAGTACCGGAAAAGAGGCTGAAGAGGTTTATGAAAGGGCTCACACAGTAACAGAGGTGAAACACACCTTGCAAGTTCTCAGGAATAACTAGGGAGGGAATTTGGGGAGGCTTGGGCTCTGTCTCAACATGCAAGCTAGCCAAATATAGTCCATCAGTGTTAACTTGTCTATACCAGTGCACATGGAAACATTCAAGTTACACTTGCAATGAGCTGTGTGGAGTCCTTCCAGGACTCAAAGCCTTTCCCCCTGTCTGGTATCCTCCAGAATACTCCTCACACTCCTCTTGTTTGGATCTATTGATACTCTGTGGCTCAATTTCTATGATTCTAGTTATTGCCCATAGGAAGTTCATGTCCAGCTAAGAAGACAAATAGAATGTCTCTCCTTTCCTACTAGATGGGGCATGCTAAGAACAGGTAGTGAGGATCATCCTTTTGCGTCTTATCTCTACCCTCAGGAATTAGTAAATAAAATGCAAGCAACAGGTGATTGAGACTGATGATAACACAGAACTGGATCAGAGCAATAGGGAAGGCTCTAGAAATAGCATGCCAGTCAAGATAGAATGAGTGGAAGTTAATGAGACTGCAGGAGTATAGTATTGGGAGAAAAGCATGCATGTCTAGATACCGAGGGAGGAGGAAGCAGAGCTGACAAAAGGTGAACAACTGCAGGAGCACAGAGACCTGAGACAGAGCAGGGCTGGAGATACAGCAAAGTCTTTGAAGACCTGGGAAGCCATGTTATAGACATTGGACTTCATTCTTTATCTTTAACTACAAGATGACTCAAAAGGGTTTCAGGTGGAGGGTGTGATCTGAAAAATTCATAGGGTTATCTTCAAAGACATCATCTGGAATTTCATATAACTGGGTTGTGGAGACCAAAGGTAGAAGCAAGGAGACAACTCCTAACACCAATGCACAAATTCAAAGGAGAGATGGCGGTGACTGAAATAATGGTATGGCATTGAGGTGGATGAAGGGAGGTGAGTCTTGGGATTTTACTGAGAACAACTGGTGGATAATTTGTGACATTTACTGAGGGAGGAAATGCTGAAGAAGGAACAGAATGGATGAAGAATTTTTTCCTTTCTATGCTGAGTGTTAAGATGCCTGTGAACTTATAAATCTATATCTTTCTGGATGAGGAATTTAAGTTTGTGTTTGTAGTTTCAGAGAATGAACCAGCTAAGAACTGCAAACCCAAGAGTAGTTTCCCTTTAGATGGTAACTCAGTCCTCAAGAATTGCTGGAATGCTTGAGGACAGTATAGAGTGGGAAGATTAGAGGGCCTCAAACATCAAACAACTTTGGTACATATGACTGCGTGGAAATAACCTGATTCCAAATGTGGACTTGGAAATTTTTAAGTATGTATCTTTAGAACAGTATGACTATACAATAAATATTTAAACAAATATGTAGTAGTAGCATTGGAAACCATTTAGTAAAAGAAGATGACTGTCAAATAGACGACTAGAGGTAGAATTTTGAAGGAGGAAAACAAAAAAATGGTGTTTCTGATATCAAGAGAAGAATCAAAAGAAAGGAGTCAGACAAGATCAAGACTGAATTTAGTAATGGGAAGCCAAATCATGGTGTACAGATGTATCTGATTCCCTAAAAGTAGGAAGCTGATATTTGAATTCATTAAATATTACAAACAGCCTCTATGCTCAGTACTTTTAAAGACACATCAGACAGCAGGAAGCTTCTCATTGAAAGTAGAATTTGAACTGAGGCAAAATGAATGGTAACCAGGTAAGAAGCCACACATTCCTAGGAGAGAAAACAATGGAGACAAAATTATAAAGGAGTTAAGAAAATAAGCAAGTAAGAGTTAGTTTCTGGCTGGGGCACAAAGAAATGACTAGAGTGCTGGGAATGATAAAAGAGAACATGGCCTGGTTATTATGGAGCTGATAGGACAATTTAAAAAGTGATTTGGCTTTTATCCCAAAGATAAAAGGGCTTTGAGAGAATATAAGAAAGTAATTGGGACAGTTGGATCTGTGTTTTAGAAAGCTTATTCTGGCAGCCAGTGGCAGACATGGCTTGGAATAAGGGATGGATTAGGAAATGAAGGCCTAAACTTGCATCTGGAGGCTGTAGAAGAAAGGATAGGAGCAGTGAAGACAAGATGTGAACTGAGGAAGTGACTGGAAATTAAGAAGTAGGGTACCAGAGATTTGCTTGGGTGACCAGATAAAGAATAAGCAAAGAAGTAGTTTTGAGTGAGAGTTAGAGATCTGGAACATTTTAACACTGGTAGGTTATTTTCTTTCTCCAAAGCAGACAAGATGTCAGTAACAATACTGCTGTTTTCCCTAACTTTCTAGAGCATGTTTCTTTAAATATCATATCATTTGAGTCACTACAGGAAGTCCACTCATTATTTACTTCACTAAAACATATTTATAATGTGTCAGGGACTTGCAAAGTATTATGAGTAGGGACACAATTGAATGAACAAGACATAACCGGCCTTCCCTCAGAGATTACATTGTATGAAGGACAAAAAGGCATTAATTACTCAATTATAAGCTATTGAGTCTAGGTCATAAAGATTTTAGAGTAGCATATGGTGAAGAACAGGGGTGGGACACCCCGGAATGTCATAAATAGCTCTTTAGCAGATCTGTGACCTCTTTGAAATCTTCGTGTGAACTTCTGACTTGTCTGCATCCATCTAGAGAGGCGAAGGGAGGCGTGGAAGTGCTCCAGGGGTCTCTGGTCCCATGAGGCTGACAGACATCCTGCCCTTATGGCCTCTTGGCAGCGACCACGGAGATACAGCCCGGTGATGCGTCTAGTCACTAGTAAGGAATTACCTTTAGACTCTCAGACGTCGAAAATGACCTGCCTTTTGCCGTCCCGTGAGGAAGGACAACACGACTATTACCATTTTGTAAATGTACCGGGAGATGTTCACTGGGGGCTCCCGGGCGCTCGCCCCGAGGCCCAGGCTCAGACCCAGCGAAGAAGCCGGGCGCCGCCCCGCCGACACCTTCCGGCCCAGGCGCACCGCCCGGCTCCGAGCTCCGCCTGGCAGACGGAACCGAGAGGGAGAAAGCGCGAGAGTTCCTCCAGTGTCGTGACTCCAGGCCGGGTTTTCAAGCCCCGAGACGGAAGTCACCGCGAGCCGGAAGCTCCCGGGCCCCGTCACGGACGGGGAGGGGGAGGGGAGGGAGATTCAGGGGAGGATGGCGGCTCAAATTCCAATCGTGGCCGCTACTTCCACCCTGGCGGTAGCCCGGAACAGCAAAAAGAGGCCAGGGAGCCCTTCCCACAACGGCAGCAGCGCAGGGGGCTACGGCGCCAGCAAGAAGAAGAAGTTATCCGCCTCCGGCTTTGCACAGGTACACTTCCGCCCTCCTAGCTTGCAAGAGTGCGCGGGGCCGCCGGGGCGAAGGGCGCATGCGCGGGGGGGGGGGGAGAAATGCGCGCGGGGGTGGGGCGGAGCCGCTGCGCAGGCGCGGGGCCGGGCCGGTTGGGGGGGGGGTACCCTTGGTCCCCGGTGTTTGGACGAGTGGGTTTGGGTTAAAGAGACTCGCGCGTTTCGTTGGTGCGGGAAGGCGAGGTGGGAGGTTATTCTTGATTGGTAGAAGAACCGGCCTTTCCCAGGCAGGTAGCATTTAAAGCGAGGCATGACTTCTGTCATGCCGAAAGAAGTCCTCGAGTCTCCCCGGATCCATCCGAGAGTCCGAGCTGTAAAGCTATGGAGACGGATAGGTTCGGTCATCCTCAGGGGGAAAAGAAAATTCCACTCCCCGTGTTTCCACCCTAACTTGGGTTTGGTGTGTCTTAGCTGCAGGAGTGAAATGGAACGACTGCGATCTGGGCTCTGCAACTTTACCAGAGAAGTTTCAGCCCAGTGCCTTGTTTGATTTAACTAGTAGCTAGCTTCTCTCTCCCCACTGCCTTTTTTTTCTCTTTTTGCAAGCAGAGTGAAGAGGCAGAGTTAATGCTCCTTAACACCGTGGCTTACTTTCTTTTTTATTTGTACTTATTTATTTTTGCCAGTCCTGGGACTTGAACTCAAGGCCTGGGCGCGCTGTCCCTGAGCCTCTTTGGGCTCAAGGCTAGGGGTCTACCCTCAACTTGAGCCACAGTGCCACTTCCCGCTTTTTTCTGAGTCGTTTAAGAGATGAGTGTCATGGACTTTTTGTTTTGTTTTTGCCTGTGCTGGTTTGGAACCGCGATCTTCCCATCTCGGCCTCCTGGGTAGCTAGAATTACAGGTGTGAGCCACTGGGCGCCAGGCTTCCAGAGCAGTTTTTACCTAGGTGGTAACTCGCTTCTACCATCAGTAACTGGTAGGGTTCCCCCACCCTTTTCGCACGTTAGTACTTTATGTGCATACGTCAGACTGCCTGGAAATTTTTTTCTTACCTTTTGCTTTTTAGGCATTACGTTCTGCGATTTTTGCCTAGCGCCAACTAAGGACTTCAGTCCTCTGCAGTCTCAGGCAAAGCTGGAGTGACAGCCATGAGCCAACACACCTGGCTTATTGACTAAGACAGGGTCTTGCCAACTTACTGCCTCAGCTTGATTCCCCTCACCTCTGCCCTCTCCGTAGCTGTGATTATTAGGCATGAGACTCCATGCCTTGCCTGTAATTTATACAACCCATAAGGTTGAATTGTGTCTCAGAGCCCCAGAAAATTCTCTAGTGACCCTTTCCTGTCTCTAGTCTCTTCCCTTCCAGCCAGAGGTCGTCACTATTCTGCCATTTTACTGTAAAGTAGATTTGTTTTCAAACATAATATGAGTGGAATCATCAGAACCATGTGTGGGTTTCTTTAGCAAAATAATGTTGTGTTTCTCATCTTATTGTTATTATTAAGGTGTTGTTTAGTAGGGGTTACCATTTCATAAGTCAGGTGTTGAGAACATTTCCTTTTTTTTAGACAATGCTATCCCTTCCTTTGCTTTCTCTTTTTTTAATGCCAGGGTTTGAATTCAGGGACTTGAGCTTACTCAACTTGCTTGCTCAGCTGGTGCTTTATACTACTTGAGCCATACTTGTAGCTTGGACTTTTTTTTTTGGGTCCGGTTGTGGGGCCTGAACTCTGAGCCTGGGCGCTGTCCTTCAGCTCTTTAGCTCAAGGCTAGCGCTCTACCACTTGAGCCATAGTGCCACTTCTGGCTTTTTTCTTTTTGCTTATGTGGTCCTGAGAAATCGAACCCAGGGCCTCAGACATGCAAGGCAAGTGCTCTACCACTGAGCCACCTTCACAGCCACTGAGCCACCTTCCCAGCCCCGTAGCTTGGACTTTTGCTAAGTTATTTTGGAGAAGGACTTTAGAAAAGGCTCATGGATTTTTCTGTCCAGGTCGTCTTGAAGTGCAGTTCTCTGGATCCCAGCCTCCTGAGTAGCTAGGATTACAGATTTGAACTACTGGTGCCTGGCTTTTGTTTTTCAAAGAGTCTCTTTGTAGCCCAGGCTGGTTTTGCAATCTTTCTGCTTCAGCATTCAGAGGGATAGAATTACAAGATTAAGCCTAACACAGAAGGCTAAAACAAAAAGAGTCACTCATTGAATACATCTGATAGGTTGTATAAAGTTAAGAACCGATGGACATTTGAGTCATGTACAGTGTTTGGCTTTTATGTGTGAACTGCTCTGGGTACTCTTATGCAAGTCTTTTTGTGTTGTCATTTTACTTGAGTAGTGGAATTTCTGCGTTAGAGGGTGGACACATTAACTAAGAACCTGTCAAATGGTTATTTCCCAAAGTAGTTGTGCAAGTCTGTATTCTTACCAGCAAATTATGAGAAGTACAGTTTTATATCATCAACAATTGTGAGTCCTTTAAAACTTCCGTCATTCTGTTGAGCAGGTACTACAACTAACTGTTACAGTTTATGTGTTTCTGATGGCTTCCAACTGCCTTTCATGTGATATTGACTATCCCAATATTGCTGAATTGAAGATTGGACTTAGGACTTCACATTTCCCACACATACTCTTCTTGGAGTCCTTTGTTGTGTGTGTGTGTGTGTGTAGTGAATACTTTCTCCTTGTATGTCCATGATGTGTTTTTAATATTCATATACGCCAACACCAAGGGATGTGGTCAGTATATTTGGGGAAGAATGCTTGTTTTGACTTAAAAAGTAGCATTGATCACATCCCACCATAGTAAGCTTCAGAGCGTGGCCAGATGACTTCAGGAAGCTGGAAATTTCCATAACCCAATGTGGTAGAAATTTCAACTTGTTGGCCTCAGGACTGTCACTGAGGAGAAGGGCTGCCTAGATGTTCTCTGAGGACCCTCTCCATTTCAACTGCAGCCACACAAGAGGCTGCAAAGAGCAGGACATTTGCTTGTACAATGAATTCTTTTGTCTTGGTTTTCCTCTTCCCAGATGGTATCTAAAAAGATATAATAACTGTGCAACATGTTTTAGATTTTTATCCTGCTGTAATACATCCATCCATCTTAGTTCTTTAATCCGTAACACATGTAGCCATAACACAGTACTCCTGTGAGTACTGCCTGGGATTTTCCTGAGGAGACCCTCATCTCTGTCCCTTGCTCATTCTTCCTGTTCTGTTTCAGTTCAGTTCAATCGGCAAGGCATTGCAGTTGTGTATTTCTGTTATGTGTCCACAGTATGCTTAAGACATTCCAAAGTTGTAGCTTGTCTGTATAAGCTCGAAGAGAGATGGACAGATATACATTGTAATTACTATCCATTGTTGCTACTCAAAATTACCACAGATTTAGTGGCTTAAATAACAGTTTATTAGCTCATAATTCCTTAGATCAAATGGTTATTGAAACACATATCTGTAAATCAGATGGCTAGGTTGGTTCTGTGCTCTGTACCTAGGCCAAAATCAAAATATTTCCTATGCTAAGCTTTTGTCTAAAGGCTTCAGGAGGAGTGATTGTACTTGGGCTTATTCAGCACTTGGTTCTTTTGGAGTGGTAGGACTGGAAGTCCCTATTTCCTTGCTGGCAGTCAGCTATTGCCCCCATCCATGCCTTGTTAGATGCCCTCCTCCATCTCCAACCAGTTACAGAGAATCTTTGCCTTTTTGCCCAATCCTTCTTAAGTTTTGCATTATCTCCTGCTTCTCTCATCTCTGAATCTCAGGATTTAGAGTTAAAGGATTTATGTGCTTACTGCTTGGGTTACTTGGATAATCACCTTTGTTTAAAGTCAGCAGAGTTGAGATCTTAATCACATCTGGGTACAGCAGTATCTAAGTTAATGTTTGTGTGAGTAACTGCTGAGTTGTGTGTACCTGGTGAGAGAACAAGCTAACGATTCTACCTGTCACTGGAAGGAAAGGCCAGGAAGATAGGATCATTTTTGAATGTACTATCAACATTCTCTCACCTTGGTGTCTTATCACACCTGACAAAAGAAGGTGAGGACTCTATGCTGGTAATAATAGCATAGGAGAGAGAGGTGGAGGCAGGGGGACTTGAGGTTGACTTGAAGGGGCAATGAGTTTCAATATAGAAGTTGTACCAGGTTCAGAGCTGTGGATATATAAGATTAACTCTGGTTGCCCAAGGCTGTATCTGCTGGGAAGTGAGTAGTTTTATCGATGTGATTGTATTACTTGAGTTAGAAGGAATTTTACAAATCTCTCAGAACTGAAATTTTCTTATGTCAATAATAGCAGGTATTTTTTAAAAGAATGAAGTACATAAAGAAGTATCTAAAGGATATAAAGCAAATAATTTATAAAGTATATAAACAAGAATGAAGTATATAAAACTTTCACAAGATTTAAATACTTCGAAGTCCTCAGGACTTCTGGTTTTGGTTGAATTTTGTTTGAAAATTATTCTGAGCAAAACATTTTTTTTTGCTTTTTTTTTTTGTTTTGTTTTGGGTGAGGGTTAGCTTTAGGTTGAGGGTTAGGGTTAGTCTTAGCTTGAGAGTTACGGTTCAGTTAAAATTAGGGTTAGGATGAGGGATGGAGTTAGGGTCACGGTGAGCCTGATGGTTAGGGTTAGGTTGAGGGTTAGGGTTAGGGTGAGGGTTAGGATGAGGATTAGGGTTACGATTAGGGTTAGGTTGAGGGCTAGGGTGAGGGTGAGGATTAGGGTTAGTGTTAGGGTAAGGTTTAATGTTAGGGTTAGGTTAAGGGTGAGGGTTAGGATGAGGGTTAGGGTTACGGTGAGGGTGAGGGTTAGGGTTAGGCTGAAGGTTAGGGTTAGGATTAGGGTTAAGGTGAGGGTGAGTGTTAGCATTAGTGTTAGGTTTAGGGTTAGGTTTTCTGTGAGCAAAACATTTTGCATCATTCCTAAGAAAGGTGTTGAATGGTTTATTAGTACAGAAATAGTTTTGTCTAATTTCATCTGGATGGTTTTTTAGAAGCTGGTGGTACTGGT